CACTGAGGCCGGCTAGATCAGGCATGATCACAGCCGTAACAAGCACAAGTACAAGAATTAGTCGCCTACCCTTGGAAAAAAACTTCGGTTTTGAGTACGTACACATTTTGGGACAAGGAGTTTCCGTAATGACACATCTTTTTTACTACTGATAATCCTCAAAATCAGGCCAGAGCAGAGTCTGTTGGTTTTATTTGAATTATTCATTCTTCTTGATAATATTTCTCGCTTGACTTCTCTTAATGGTTCTCTTGTGCGTTCTGTGTCTGCTGTGTGGTATTTAACCGGTCTTTGATTTCTATGGTCTGGATGCGCATGGTTGCCTTTTGTAGGTGAGCCTCGTATCGATGCACGCGGTCGCCTCTGAGATGTCCCTTTTGCATGGTAGAATTTGTCATATCCTAGTTTCTGTCTTTGTTGGTTTTCTCCGGGAACTGACAAATGGGTGTTAAATTATAAGTGACTTGAGATAGCCATTCCGTAAATATTAATAAACAAGATATGGGGCCCTGCGTGTCCTATTTTCCAGTTTTCTCTGGTAAACTCGGAATCAGTTGAATGGTGTCCTGATATAGCTTCGTTTTTGCGCTCACATCCACCAACCGTGTCACGTGTTTAACCGAGCAGCCAGATATTATGGCCCAAACTGGCTGTAAGACAGGTGGTGAATTCATTTAAGAAAAGGTCTCAGATATAAATTCGGTCAGACGATTTATCGATCTGCGCCAGCAGACAGAGTTCTGTGCAGTCGACTTCACACTCTCGTTATATTTTTTGTTAGCTTGTTGCCCTAAATCTAGCGTCTGCTCTGTTACTTTTATGTCTAAAAATGAAACCCTGCATAAATTCGGAACCTAAGAGAAATAAATTTATTGTTCCAGGGATCGAACAGACTTATGCTTCCCTGAATACGCACATCTGGAGTTCAAAAATTCGCCCCGATTCGTAACAAAAAAAAAACAGAATATCTTGCAGCTCCCTAGATTTTAAACATTCGAATAGGAAACCTATCTTGGCCCGATGAGAATACATATTGTTTCCAATACATACCAGTTGCAGTATCCTAATCCTTCCCGCGCACTAAAAGTAGAGTTTGTGAAGGCTAAATTGCCGCTATAACTTAAAGATCTTGCCAAGTACCCCAGCACAAATCCTTCGGCAAAATATTTTTATGCATCTATAAGCGCGGTGGTCGTCCTCTTCCATCAAATATGTCTACCGAAATTTGGCAGTCATTTCGTGTTAGTGGAAATTAAGGCATTTAAAAAGGCGTAAGAAGTTGATGAAACGGTATGGTCTTAGGCAGTGCCGACGATATGATAAAATTTGATCACTTTTTTGCTTCTGGTAGAAGACGAAAACAGAAATAGGCCGATTTATAGGGGAATATGTTTCCACATATTTAGGTAGATGGACGTTCGCCGATCGGTAACGGAATTCCCTCCTCCCGTTCTCCATTGCGGTTCGTTATCGAGCCCGCCAGCAGCCCCTCAACGGCCAGCCTCTTATAGGCAGAAATACATTAGCGAAAAAGACTAAGGAAATTGTAATGATCCGTTTTGGCTGATTAACCGTCACCAGCCAACCATACCCAACGCCAGGTGATGCACCACCCGAGATTCGGACCTGCGACCTGTTCCTAGAAGTCTAGCATTTTATCGAAGATATGTTCTCTATAAATGTAAATTTGGTCATGAATATAAAATCCATCTAACATTGAAATTCGCTATCTTTACCTCTTATTATAAAAGGGAAGTAAAAAAAACTGACTGAGTATTGTTTGATGAAAAGTTTTTCAGATCCCATTCGATCCTGTGTCATCTCCTAATTTCATCAAAGTAAAGATACGAAATAGCAGTTTATATCAGAAAATACCAGTAAGGTTCGTACTGATTATAATTTTTAGTATTCGAGCATTTACTGAAACCCGTATCATTGAAATATTTTAAAAAAGATATTAACCAGGCGAAGATGGGCAATTCAGCCATGTCTGATGGTAAACCTCACGAGATATAATTTTTCAGCCTGCTATTCTTAGTCCAATTTACCCCATCAGAGTAAAACAGACTACAGGCGCGTTAAAAATATTCGGATTGGTAATTTTTTAGTAACGGACAAGATTGCTATTTCTGTGCTCTTCGGCATCCTTATTTACCAGAGTGACAGATGATCCCGACATGAACCGATAAACTGGAGTGTATTCTAAAAAGTTATGGTTAGTTCTTTGTTCCATAAGTATACGTAGAAGTTTTAGAAAGCACGGTGAATTTGAAGAAGAGATCTGAATGATCCCTTTTTTAAG